TATGAAAATCTCCCAGTTACAAATACATCTTTTCAACTTTAGTCCTTGAGCTATTACAAAAGATCTAGACTGCAAGAGAAATGAGATGTGCACATAAAAACAGCATGTCAGTCAAGGATATCTTTGATTTCTTCCTTTTTGTCTTTTTCTGTGTTCAGATTAAATTTCCTCTTTGCTTCTTGGAAGATCATGGGAATTAATTACAAGTAGTGCCAACTCCTAAAACTTTTGCCTATCTCTTACGGTCTCACAGGTAATGAGGGTTTCAGAAACAGCTCATCCCCAAAATACAACTCTCACGATACTCTCACAATAAAGTCCTCTCTCAGTATAATTCATATTTATTAGGAATGATTTATTTTACATATAAAAATACATATTTATTTTTCAGATTACTTTAACAGGCCTTGAAAACAAATCTACATCATTGCTAAGACATTAAACCCTCTCCCTGCTTTTCTCGTGCTTCAAAAGCGGTAAGCCTATCTTCACATAATGGAGGCAGAAATTACCTTTCAAAAAGTTATTGAAACTAATGACTGCAATTTCACACTATTCCACAAGTCATGGTGTGTTTCTTCTTGCTCTAATGAGCAACAAACTGCAAATACTTGTTTTGACTGTATCATTAAGAAGCAGTTTACAAGAAAAGATTTTCTTTAAATATCGAAGTAAAATTCCTTCACTGGGAACTTCTTTGAGATGTCTAAATAGCAATAGAGAGCTTAGGGTCACTAATTATCTATGAAAAACAGGCACGACAACAACTATTATGTTAGGGAATGTATCAGAAAGGTAAGATCCTTCAAATTAGGACTTATGTAAGAGGCAGTCATAGAATCAAAATAACTCGTACTGATTCAAAATTTAATTTATTGGCAAAGGCAATTTAACTTGCAAGCATTCACTGCAGATGAGCATAAGCTGGTGTAGCAAGATGTAGACACACATTAAAGCAATGTGCTTCATTCTCTGATATTCTCTTCTGCATTACTTTTTGTATATCCTAATTTAAATCGTGCTAATTTTTTCTCGTCACATAGTGTCAGATATTCTGTTTTACAATAAATCATCAAATTATGTGTACAGGAAACATCTCTACATCACCAATCAAAACAGCTAATGCGTAAAGGCAGTCACAACTAATTTTTTTTTTTTTTTTTGACTTGTCTGGTACAAATATTGCATGTCATCTCGCCTGCCTTACATCAGATGATAGCTGAAAAAAAGAGTACAATTCCTTAACTCTCTTTGGCTTTCAGCACTCTCAGGCAATAAGCCAATTTAACTGACTAAAATTAGGTGCAACACGGCCACAATCTAATAAAGAATAGACTGGCAGGTAATAATTTTACTTAATTACGTCCTATTACTTACAATTAGATTTGCAGGCCAGCCTTTCAAATATATTTATCTATTTGAAAAGTTTAGGAAATTGGCAACATCACACTTTTGGATAAAAGAAAGGAAAAAAATAAAAGGAATTTGGACACAAATCAAAAGTTCTAAGTCGTTTCTTTAATTACATGTTATGCAAAATCGTCTTTTCCGAAGGTTTACCAAAAAATTTCCTTGACCTTTAAGCTAAACAGGCAAGCTGCTATCCATAGTTGCAGTGCATGAGAATGAAACACAGAGGGTCTAAAAATGGAGCTTATAATGGAACCTGATGGCAAATTTGACTAATAAGGGATGATTTTCTCTCCAAAAAGTAACCACTCCAGCTGGTGTACAAACTACTGCAACGCACTGAAGAGAAAGTTCAAAATTATACTTTCCCTTAGATTTGGCTTCACTGGCAACTTCATCAATCTAATTCAATCTAAGATTTCTACCTAGGTAATAATATTCATCAGATTAACCTCATAGATGCTATCTTCCTTCAGTAATCTTCACTTATATCGTTCTCCTGGTCTGAGATATTAAGGGCCTCCTGCTAATGCAAGACACCAGATGTTATACTGCATCTTTACAGAAGATTTTGTTTTTGAGATTTAACCCCCTCAAATTTGTACGTTTTTGGAACAAAAACTACGGTAACAATTGAGTGGGCTTTGTTTTAGGTAGTGCAGGAAACCAAAGTAAAGCAGATAGTCTTAATTATTTTGGACCATTATTATTTCTCTCAAAGTTTTAACCCACAATCTTGTGTGCTTATGGGCCAACTGTTAAACAAAAAGGCCTCAAAGGTATGCTTTAAAGATCCTGTAGTCTTTCACCCCGTCTATAGTCCAAAAATCACTGAATAAGATGAGTGCATATTCATAACCTCTGTGAATCCTTACCCTTGAATTTATATGATAGCCTGAAAACTTGTGGAAGACATTTAGTGTCTCATAAAACAACTCAGCCGAGGAGCTAAATATACAGATGTGCTGTAGTGAGATGGTGCATTAATGCTTCTGGCTCCTTTGGCTGTTTGTGCTTCAGTCATGCAGATTCAGTTCACTGCATGTCCCAGGTGGACATCATCACACCATGATTTTAGCAAGCCGTGCTGCAGAAGAGCACCAGAAACAGGAGTCCCATAAATCCACTCAGAAAGGCATTTCTAGAGTTTAACTCTAAGATACATCTGTATTAGTTCAGCCCTGTGGAATCGATGCCGAGACTGATGAAGTATGTGCCATTATGAGCTCCACAAGAAGAGCAAAGAGCATAATTTGTTCTTTAAAGCCAGAAGCAAGCTTCATCAGTCATGCTGTCTGTTCGAAGACAGGACGCTAAATTCCATGGGGGCTAAAGAACCAGTACGAGAGAACCTAAATACTCTGTGTAATCAGCCTTCTCCTCTCCTTCTTCACTGCTGAGGAGCTCAGCCAACCTCCAGTCTCTTCTTGCCTTTAAGGAAACGCACCAAACTAATGATGATTAGGGCTATTAATAAAAATTATATATGTCTATACATATTCATATACTTATGTAGGCATGTATATACATGCTGCAAGGTTTATTTAAGTTCTGATGGCCTGAGTGAAATACAAACTAATCTGCAGCTCCTATGACCTAAATGAGCAAACTGCAGAGCCTACTGGTCTCCAGCACAGCTTCCTCCTGCTTCAACTGGGATATGGCTCATATCCCATTCTTTTCCCTATATGTGGAAAATGCAGTAGGTTAGCAGGGCTGCCTGTACAGTCCCACCAATGCATTGAGTCCTTGTCATTCAGATGTGGCTAGCAAATACCACGGGAATGCCTGATACAGGCATCAGCTTCCCCAACGATGAATTCTGAAAAATTAAGTTTTTCTGCTTCCGCAGCTGAAAAAACCTCATGGGAAGCAAACTGAACATCGCTAAAGCTACCAGTTCCCATGGTTTTACTGTAAGTCCTGCAAAATTTAATAAAAATAAAAAGCCACATGCACTGGAAGAGAAACACTACCTCATATTTATTTTACACAACTATATGTTTTATATATTTCACTGTTGCATTTATATACAGATTGTACTGTATAAATTCACAGAACGTTTTTTTTTTTAAAAGAACTTCTTAGTTCTAAGAGATGATTGCAACCTGATAAGAAAAATATTTAAAACATTTCCTTTAAACCAAACTCATGAATCCTACATAATTTGTATTCTTTTTTTAATGAGGTGGGAGATAATTCACTATTTTATAACTAATAACTATATTTTATTAGTAGTAGTACTACTTTGATAGGGGTGTCTTACTGAAACATACAGAGTAGTTTAATTAGTCCCTCTCCCATCTATCCCTAGACTAAGAGAGATCAGTGGCGTGAGACCACAAAGAACATTGCAGACTGGCTTTTCGTTCAGTCCCATTAAACGATGCTCGCTCACAGGCCTATGAAATCAATTAGGAAGTACTTGCAAAGATAGCCAAGGAAAAACTGTTTAAAGCCTTAACAGCTTAAATAGCCCCCGTCTTGATGTTAGCTCTACAAAGCTATTAGACTCCTGTCTGGATTGCATTAGCACTAGGCAACTCCGCTGCTAATCCTGCAACCAACACTGCTGGCTTCGCCTCTCTCCTGCTCACGTTTTCGTGTGGATGGCTTGGAGAAGGCAGACAGGACAGGCAAACCAAAAAACTGCCTGGCTTTTCAGGCACGAAGAAGTGTTAGGAAGAAGGCAACACTGACCTGGGTAAAAAGTAAATAAAGAAAATAGCTGAATCAGCTCCCCGAATAATTTTTTGTTGTTCCAGCGCAGAATAGGGTTGGACTTTTGTTTCGTTTGGTTTTTTTCCTAGAAAATACAATTCTAGGTATCTTCATACTGAGAACATTTCAACAGTCCTAGACTGTCTATGCCAGAAGTTATGAGAAATTGAGGCATTTCCCAAGAACAAGGGAACTCCAGCAACTCAGGAGATTCTGGGTACGGCAAGGGGGATTTAAATCAGAACAGGATGAAAAATAGTTTTCTTACTCCCTTGAGGATTTTTTCACGTTAAAAGGTTTGCTGAATCTAAACTAGATAAAAGATACTTTCATTTACTTTTTTCCCCTCAAAACTGAATTTATATTCAGATTTTGAACTTATATTTTTTTTCCTTGGATGATTTTTTGGGCTATTTTAAAATCTTTGTTAGCTGAAACAAACTTTCAGATTGAAAATCTTTCTTCCTCAAAGAAAGAGAAGCTGTAATGCACCCATATTTTTTGCACTCATATTTTTTCTTCTTGAACAATATTTAGTGAAAATGACTCTTTTAGTGAAATGTTGTTCTCTACAAGTTGTAATTAAAACTGAAACAACTTCCATCCAGAAATCACTCAGAAGAGTAAACCAACTCCACCTTTCAGCGTCGGCAAGGAAAGTCACATAGAAGACATTGCTCACAGACATGATGATGAGCATTTCCACTGCTTTTCTGGCACTAATTCCCAAAAAGGAAGAGGACAGTTTAAATTCCACGAGTACTTGCAAGGTCCATCCGGGCATCTCCCCACCACGCACACACTCACACACACTCCTACTTTTCCTCTCCCCGCATCCGTCACGCCACGTCCCTCAGGGACTTCCTTACCTGTCTGTCCCGCAATCGTCACAAACAGTCTGTGGGGAATCCTGGACGGGATTTTCAGTCCGACTCTTATCTGGTAATACCTAAGCAGAAAGAATTTAAAATTACGTGCTGTTACACAGAGCACCACTGGATCCAACCTAAAAAAAAAAAGGAAGAAAATATCCTGGGCATCCCTACTCAAACAGAGGTGGTAGTGACAACAGACATGCAGGTCTGTCACACAGAGAGCCTTTTCCGCTGGAAAAATGCCTGGTAATTTTAAATAAAGTTGAATTATGCTGATTTTAATAAAGCTCCTTCTATTTTACAGCAGGCTGAGCAGACCCAGAGGCCTGATGTGTGACTAATTAGGAAAGGCTGTGAAAAGCTCTTGGCTTCTTGTAGGGGAAAAAAAAAAGAAGGAAAAAGAGAAATATCTATAGCAAAAGTCAGTGAGAAAATTCAATACGAAACAAGGGGGAAGCTCCTGTGGAAAGAAAGCAAACGCGCTAACCGCATATCCAGGGTAATTCAATTTATACGTAGCGATTGCCATTCTTCTATTCCATACCAAGAACGTTGCATCACAAAATTGTGCATACCAGAATAAATCAAGTCTAGGCCAATTATAGTCCAGTCATTTGCCATCAGCGGGCAATCCTTATGTTACACGGAGGAAGATGGAAAAAGAAAACATCAACAGTTTCATCAGCTGAAGTTGCACATGCTGCGGGTTTCTCCAGAAAGCGTGAAAGTATGAGTTCAGTCTAAACAGCGAAATAAGTGTGTCCTAGTCCTCCCTCACCACCATTTTCGTGAAGAATAAAATCTTTACTGAGGATGAAACAGTAGATAAGACCAGAGCACTCCCAGCCAGCGCCAGGCCCGGAGGACCCTAATGGTCCTGCAGGAGCTCTAACCTAATGCCATTGCTCCTGGTCTCTTCCAGAGCTAGTGTAAGAGACAATTATTCCTAAAGACCCTTTATATTTTCATTACAACGCTATGCAGTACTAACTGACAAAAATGTCCTACTTGGGCTATCTGCACAGTCTAAATATTTTCATATCACAACAACGTAATATTAAGCACAAAGGAAGATTACTACTGCAGCGTAATAAGAGACTACTTGGTATGTAGACATTAATAACACTTTACTCCATGTGGCCCTCAGCTAGATTTATTACTAAAGTTTGATTATTGCACCAGGCGGATGCACTTAGATGTACAGCTTTTACCACGAAAATAAAATTTTATAGTTGTCTGGCTGCTTCTTTCAGATTTTTTGCTGCTTCAGGATACAAATACGAAGTGTGCTAAAAACAAGGAAGAAGTATTCAGTTCAAGGCGGGAATGCACATTTCTATCTTGGCGTTTATGTCTTCTGCTTTGGGCTCTACGCCCCCAATCTAAACTTCACCATACAGTCTTTTCTGAAATCATCCTGTGACTCGTGGTCTGCTTTTAGCTTTACCAATTTGAAAGGTATTTCATCATTTAAAATCAGCATCCTGCACTACATTTTAGCATTTACTCCTTTCAAATTGTGATGAAAAACCCAAGAATGCTCTGCCTAACATAGAGGGTAAATACATTCACCATTAATTAATCTCCTGACTCTTTGTTTCCTTACACTTGTGGAGTCAATTATGGTGAGATTCAGTTGTCTAAGGACGGGTACCCTGTGCCATTTGAGATGCCTTAAGATGTCCTAGCCGGCTCCCTACTGGCACTCCACGAAGATGCAGGTGCCCTGTGCTATCTGCCTTCCCTTGTCAGATGTCTCAGATACTCAGGAGCATCTCACAGAGCATGAAGTACCTTCAATAGGAAATTGGGGTAGCGCTCCAGATTAAGCCACCTAAAGGTGGGGTGTTTACGTGTAGATGTCTAAGATCCCACTATATTTCAATGGCCATGTACTGAAAACTCTCGACAGACCTCAGAGAGATTCAGCTCACAGGAGAAGAGGCTGGACAGCCCTCTAGACTTCTCTTGTTGTCCGGACTAGAACTGCTGACTGTTAACAGGATCTCGGATACCCCTACCACATGCAAACACCTAAATATTGGCGAATTCATCTGAAGCTGACTCCCACCCTTTGCAATTGCTTTGCCAAGCTGACTAGCAATAACACAAAGCAATTACCATCTTCATTTTATTTTAATCTTTCCTTATTCATACCCTTAATTTTGGCAAATTCATTTGAGTGTTACAGGTATTCCGGATGTTGTAAATTGGTATTTTGTGTGCCTGCAATGTTTAGATGTTCTAAACAAAAGCTGCATAGGACAGTTATAGAAACTTAGAAGTTTTGAAGATATTTTCATTTTACACTTTTTTCTTTAAAGGATAAATCTGAAAGAGCAATGCAACTATGCTATTAGTTAAGACACTTACCTGAGATTGGGAAACCCAGATCCAAATCTCTGCTCTACCAATCTCGCATATCAGAGGTAAATGACAAAATAAGAGTTCTGGAGCTGACAGTGCTTGCTTCATCTATCCTCAATTTGAGGAAATTTTCCAATAGAGAGTTCTATCCAAAACAGTGTTTTCCTTGGAAAGACACTGTTAATATGTGTTAGTAATTAATTAATAATTAATTAATATCTTAATAATGCAGCAACTTCAATATTAAATTGGTTCTTCAGTATATGGCTTTAAATGGGACAACCCAATCCTGATTATAATTCCTGAGCAATATGAAAAAAATTCATATTATCCAAGGACAACATATTTCTCAAAATCTTGGAATAGAATTGAAAATGTGCTTGCAAGTGAGAAAGTTACAAAATCTGAGGATGATTGTATTTCTTGAGAGTTTTCAATAAAGTAGAGTTTTGGGGGGGTGTTTTATAATGAGAAGCTTCTGTTATTTTTGGAGAGGACTCATATCTGGCAGAACTGTTACAGAAGCTAAAGACTTTGTAGTCACCTCAAAGGATTTTTAAATAAATATTTTTAAAATTTTAGGAAAAAATAAGGCAAATTCTCATGTGTCACATATTGCTTGGAAACGAGGCAAGTTTTCATATATATTTTTAAATTCAAGGCCCGAGAAACACTCTATGGCCATGCATTTCCCTCTCTCACAAAAAAAAAAATTATGAGAAAGTTAACAAATAAGGGGGGGAAAAGAAAGGCTCACCTTTGTCATAGGAAGATTGTCCTATCTCACTTGTGGGAAAAGGTGAGTGATGAAGTCAGTGACCTTTTCAGACCCTTGCTGTGGTTAAAGGTCCACAGTGTAATGAGATTCCTGAAACTGATGATGGCTGCAGTATTGAGGGATGCTGTTATAAATGTCCCGTATGTTTTATAAATGACTACACGTATTTTCACTCTTAACAAAAAACAATGTCACAAATCAGTTACTGATAGGCAATTTATTGCAAGTTGTTTATATTTAATCCCAAGTACCCTTTTCCTTATTTGTGACCATAAGGATAAGATGAATTGACATTGGAAGTAGGTGGAGGATAAAAGTGTTTTTTCCCTTAAGTGTAGAATGTTTATCAATCTACACAGCAGTACACAAGGCAGTTGATCATTCAGTTATCACTCTTAGTACATCCATATACCACCTGGATAAGCTTTGCCTCTGGTTAGTGACTGTTGTTAGTCAAGTGTACTTTTCTGCATTTTCCAAATGCACAAATGAACAGCAAGAGCCAGGAGGAGGAAAACAATGGTGCTGTGAGGTCAACAAAATTTAAAAGGGTTGATAAATAACTGCATTTTTAAATTAGACTGATGAGTCAGCCCCAGATAACATTGGTCCAGGATATATCCATTGCACAAATCTATCAACAAGAACTCTTTGGTTTGCTTGAGTTTGGATGGTGGCTGGGAAGGAGCAGCAGCTCTCTCTTTGCTAGCAAAGTCACAGTGTCAATTTTCTGACTTCCCATGACTGCCTATCTCTTAAGATAAAAAGGTGAGTTCTACATCTTTTCCTGCACCTGATACCCAAAGATCTGGCCTCAGTAACATAACGGTAAACAGAAATAATCTTAATACAAACCATCCTGGAATTAGATGTATTCTTCCAAAAGAAAAGCTTTAGAGAGTGGTCCTACATCCAGAAGATAGAAAAGAGTTCTGAATGACCCTGTGTTTCAAGATCTGTGCGGTTGTGCGTATGTGTTCATTGCAGTGCCTCACACCACACGGTAGCGGCACTGTTGGGTAGTTAGATTAACGCCAGAGAAGGATGGTGATTTACAATATTTCAGATTGAAGTTTCCCAGCACCCCAGTGACGTTCATGGAAAATAGCGGAGTGAAAGTGTTAGGGGCTCAAAATCGAAAAATTAAATTAAAAATGAGCTTGAAAGAGAAATGTTCAAAATTTATCGGTGGTATTTCTTTTGAAAACAAATAGTTTCCCTGAAACGTTTTGAGAACAAGTCATTTTTCAATGAACAGTTTTAGGTAAAACATTAAAAACAGCTCCGAGGGGGATTATGTATATCACAAACAGATTGGGAGCAGAGGTTAGTTTCACTCTGGCTAGAAAAACATTAAGATATCTTCATTTGAGTTTCAGTAGACCTCTTGTTGTCTAATTAAAGCAGACAACCTCCAGACAGGAAACTGAATAAATTCCATTACCTGTATTTCTACTGTCTAACCTACATGCAAATATTGCCCATTCCTCCCTAATGCTTCTTCTGCGGTTTTGCAGGCGGGGATGAAATGCCAAATAGTTTGCACCTATTCAAAAAAATAAAAATGGCGATACCTGTTCCTGCATTGTAAACCTGGAATGTTACCTTATGACAGTTTCTGCATTACTCAAGAGAGTTTTCAGGATAAAAATACAGGCCACTGCAAGATGTAGTGTCATATTTTCTTCAACAGTAAACCTAGATTAATATCCTGCTTCCTCGCACCACTACTCAACACCCCTCTCGGTTGTACCAGTAGAATTACTGGTGAGACTAAGATGTAAATGTCAGGTTAATAATTAGGAGAGCAAATAATAAAAAAACAATAAAAAAACACTCTCTTCATCAGTACCTCTTCATACATCCACACTGTTACATGAATCAGTGCTGTGCGCAGTCCGTGCCAACAGGTTGATGGATGGATAATTG